TTTATTGCAGATTTTCTAAAACTACAAGTCAATATTGTTCATCGTATAGTGACGACAACCCAAAGGAAGAAGAAAAAAGAAGCAGAAATAAAAAGAAAACCGCCGTGTCTGTCAAGATAAAATATCTTCTTTCCATACTTGTGGTTGAATGAATATAGAAAGCATTGGTCTTGTCAAAACTCATCTCCTTCTTCTTTATTATTCTTCTTGTAAGGATTCTCAAACAATGCTGAAGAAGAGTATAGACAAGAAAACACTATTGGCAGAGTTGAAAAAGCTTGGAGACCTCGAAAAAGTCCATGCAAATCTCATCCGCGTTCTAATCGGGTTGACAGAAGATCCGGAAGAAAAGTCGATGCAAGAGATGAGCATGGAGTCGTCTAAAAGCCTTGGGCGTCGATTCGTCACGGACATTCTTCAGCAATCTCAAGAGGAAGGTCATCTAGCAACACTGGTAGATGAAGTAAAGATGTCTCAAAAGAAGGTCGATATGTTTATGTCTTTCACAAAGATGGGGATCGATACACTAAAAACTTTGCTCTAAATCAAGTTAACAAAGTCTCAAAAGACTTCTCTTCTTTTAGTATTTTATGGAGATTTTCTTGTTTCTCACTTGCTTCCTTCGTATATTATCTTTCTTTGTGTGAAAGAACCAAGTTAACACTCTTTTGCAAGATATAAAATCTTGCAAAATCTTCGGCTTAGACATTCAAGATCTGGGAACACTCGATTCGATGGTGCAGAACGGGATTATTTTCAGAAACATGATGGATTTTGCAAGCAGATTCGATTTATAGGAATTCTATGACAAAAAACGACAAATCTCGTCGTAATCGATGAATCTCGTCGGAGACAGTTGCAGCGGCCCAGAGATTCACGAGAGAGATGATGAATTTTGTTTTTAAAAGGTGGCACAAATGCAAATGGTCACCTCTAGGTGGCAGGCTTGCAAAAAAGAAGTCTTAAGTGTAGCATTTTTGTTGGAAACCAAAACGAGATAACACTGTTTTGATGAAGTCCCATTCCACGAAGCACAGTCACG